CATTTTAAGATAATTTTGGGCAAATGGCTAAAAAATCATATATACAGTAACTTTTAAGATGATTTAATGGATTATCACTTTCGACCAATAGGTGGCGCAGTTACGAAATCGATGTGATGTGGTCAGAGTGAGGTGACAATGACACATACAAAGTTTGGTGTCAAAATGTGAAGGCATTGCAGAGATAAAGACTTAATAGTAATTTTGGCAGCATGCCTCAACTTTGCTGCTGCGGTATACAAAAACGGTTTCCTCTATCGTCACGAAATCCATAACTTTTAGTCGGCACGGTATGGAGATGACACGATTCGATTTTGGTGAAAATCGGACGAATGGTCTAGGAGAAGTTCGAAAAAGAAGGTTTTGAAAGTAAATAAAGATGGCGGACAGGAAGTTCGTCCAAATACGTCAAACTTGGTATCTATGTTCTCGGCATGACCCAAGGAATCTATTAAGACCAGTGTCATTACAATAAGCACATTTTTAAAAAAGTTATTAGCATTTTTGGAAATGTAATTTTAACTTTTGACCAACAGGTGGCGCTGTCTTGAAATCTTTTGAGTACCTTCAAGGCAAGGTGCTGGTAACAAATTCTGAGTTTCGTAATGTTACAGCAATGTGTTCATTAAGTATAGCATTTCACATCACAAAACTGCATTGAAATCAATGGGATTTTCATGTTTTGTTCTATTATAGCGCCACCAAGAGGCAAAATCCCACAATTTTTTTCATGTGTCCTCAGAGTGAGCCCCTACATCTGTGTGTCAATTTTGGTGAAGATATCTCGATTAACTTCAGAGTTATAGACATTTATGTGAAAAAACACGTAAAAAATGACCGCTACGTGACTTTGATTGAATTTTACGACCCCTTACTATCAATATTTTGGCATTTGGGCATTGGCGTATAGCTATCGACCTATGTTTCCAATTTTCTGACGGTGGTTTCGTCTCGATCGGACTAACGGTTTCGAAGATATCGGCAAATGTTTTTTAAGCGCTAAATCACAACGCTACACAAACCGTAAGTCGAAACCTAGCATATTTGGTATCTCTGGACTCGGCAACGATTCAGGACCTCAACGAGATGACTCCCGTGAAAATAAGTCAACCACAGCCAGAGTTATAAGCATTTGAAAAATAAATTTTACCACTAGGTGGCGCTGTTTCGAAACTTCTCAGGCTCCTTCAGGGCATCGTACTGATGACCCATACCGAGTTTCGTAACAATTCGTTCATGCGTTCAAAAAATACAGCATTTTAGCACATAATTCAAAATGGCCGGCAGCCAAAATGGCCGATCTGGGAAAATTGGATATCAGTCGACTCGGCATGACGCCCTGAATCTAAAGAGACCACTTTTATGATTTTTGGACAAACCGTTCAGAAGTTATGAGCGAAAATAGCCGTTTTTCATATCTCCGGACCAGTAGGTGGCGCTGCGCCGAAACGCAGCATGTAGCCTCAGGTCATGCTTGTGATGACATGTACCAAGTTTGGTCTGAATACGATTAAGCGTTGCGGAGATACAGCCTTACGTCTGTTTTTGCAAGCGCTACGTAAAATTAATTTGCGCGTTTATCGAAAACCGTTAAGCGAATCAACTTGAATTCCATAACTTTTTGTCGGCACTGCCTGGGGATGATCTGGTGCAATTTTGGTGAGAATCGGACAAACCGTCTAGGACGAGTTTGCAAAAGTAGGTTTTTTAAACAATTCAAAATGGCGGCCATATTTTTATGACGGAAAATGACGTCATAGGGTGGGATCGAATCGTCATGAGCTCACGAATCAGAGGAAAAAAGAATTTTGTTGATAGGCCTTACAGTTCAAAAGTTATTAGCATAATGATTTTGAAATTTTGGACAGGTGGTGGCGCTAGAGGCAATGAGTTAGAGACACCAAAATTGGTGCAATTACTGTTGGGACTGTCCTCTATCAGAAAGTCAAACCGGAACAACTTTCCCGGATACGGTTCTATGGGCTGCCATAGACGCCCAGTCGGAAGAAGAAGAAGAAGAAGAAGAATAATAAGAACCGGAACAGATACAATAGGTGCCTCCGCACCTTCGGTGCTTGGCCCCTAATAATAATAAGAACCGGAACAGATACAATAGGTGCCTCCGCACCTTCGGTGCTTGGCCCCTAATAAGAACCAGAACAGATACAATAGGTGCCTCCGCACCTTCGGTGCTTGGCCCCTAATAAGAACTATCAGAAACTATCTAATCGAATTCATCAACTTCATAAGGTAGAAATCGACTGCAGGGTTTAAGTACAAATAATTATATACTGATAATATAATATTTATTCACATTTGAACTACCAGAAAAGTTTTTATTTAATTCATTCAACTTTATAAGTTGAAAATCATGCAGGTTTTATTTTAGAACTATTATTTTTACACTATTATAATATTAATATTTTGAAAAAGTTTTTAATTTCAGTTTTCATTTAAATTTTAGTAAAAGTTTTAGTCATTTTGTTGTGTACTTTTTGTAAATTTTTAACATTTAGTTTTCCCCCCTCCCAAATATTTCTATTTAGCTTTCATTTAAATTTATTTTAGTTTTACTTTTAGTTATTTTAGTCACTTCAACTTTTTTTATTTCAGTTACAACATTTTTTATTTTCTAATGTTTATTTTAAATTTAATGTTTTTCATCTTCAGCTTTATTTCAATTTATTTCAGTTTTAATTTAAACGGTTTTCATAGTTTTGATCAACAATAACAACAAATTAACTCAAATCTAGATAAAAAAAAACTATATTTGATGAGTTAACTGGTTGTCAATTTAGTTTAAAGATTTTAAAATAAAAAGTTAAATTCAATTAATAAAAACTCAAACTGCATGTAGGCATATAATAATTATATAATTAAAAAAGTTATTTAGTTAAATAGAATAAAAAGTGACATTGCTGCCCTGCTTGAAACACTATCAAATACTCACAAATATTCTGCATAAAAAGACAATTGTTGTTTTCTATATGTGTGAAAATACTTTGCAACAGACTACATTTCACCACCAAATGATGAGGAAGTAACACATGGTATAAAAGAGTATCTCCCAGCACAATCCGAACTAAACTCTAAGGCCGCAGGGGAAAGACACACATCCGAGACCTTTGAAACACAATCCCCTCCTACATTCAAGAAAAACTCGACTCAATAGTCAGCCATGCAGACATTATGTTTTCTTCTCCATTTCTAAATTAAGCCACGCTACTTTGGAGGTTAGCTCTTGGCAACCAAGTCCATAAGTTCACTAAAGATGGTGAATAGCATATAATTATTTATGATGGCTGACTTTCCAAATTGGAAACAGAAATTCCCCTTAAAAATGAGAGAGGGCAGAGAGTGGACGAGGTCTATTTTCCCTTTTCATGAGCCTCTCTTAAATGTGGGTCAAAGAGCCCCCTAAACTGACAACTTATTTAAAAACTATATATATATATATATATATATATATATATATATAAAAATTCAGTTAGGGTTAGTTTTTCCCCCTTTTTTGAAAGAAAGTATTATTTTTATTCAGCAATGATGTTTTAAATTGATAAAAACTGATCGTAAAGAAGACTTTTACTATTAGAAAATATTTATATTTTGAATAAATGCGGTTCTTTATAACTTTTTATTCACCAATGAATCGTGAAAAAAGTATCACAGGTTCCCAAAAAAATTGTTTGCACAACTGTTTCCAACATCGATAATAAATCAGCATATTAGAATAATTTCGGAAGGATCATGTGACACTGGAATAAAGGCTGATGAAAATTCAGCTTTGCATCACATGAATAAATTATATTTTTAAGTATATTAAAATAGAAAACAATTAATATAAATTTTAATATTTCGATTTGTCAAATGTAATAATATTTTACATTATTAGCCTACTTTTTTATCAAATAAATGCAGGCTTGGTGACCATAAGAAATTTCTTTCAAAAACATGAACAAATAGTAATGTTTCCAAACTTTTGACCGGTACTGTGTGTGTGTGTGTGTGTGTGTGTGTGTGTGTGTGTGTGTGTGTGTTTGTGTGTGTGTGTGTGTGTGTGTGTGTGTGTGTGTGTATACATACACACATTTATATAATATTAAGATAGAATATATACATTATATATCTGTGTTTACATACTGCAGTCATGTTGACAAAGTTTTATGATGAAACATGCAACATGAAAATATCGAATTAGCAATCCAGTTATTATTAATAACTATTGTTCGTGAATGTGTTGATGTTTCTTACTCTGAGTAATCTGAGTCTGAGTAACTGTAACTTGATGCATCGGAATCAGTTTCGCTCCCTCCTTCAGCCTCCTTATTTTCACGCAAGTCGGACTCAAACTCCGCCTCATTCCCCTCTGTAAATTGTCTAGACGCCATCAGCGCATTTTCTACTCAATAACCTGTGTTCGTGTCCATTCAGAGCTGTTTTAAGAAGCGAAATCTTCTTTTCAACGGCAACCGCGTCCTGTCGTGTTATCCGCATACGGGTCTTGTTCAAAGCCCACGTGACGCGTTTCTCAAATCGTGATTGGTAGAATCGAGTCGTTTCTATAGCAACTCGGAAGCTTTTGTTGAACAGTGCAACGTGCAACGAAACGACAACAGAATCGCATGTTCGACTTCAGAATCATTCATGCTGTTTCCAACAGAAAAATAGTATAAAAAAATATATATATATCAAATATCATAATAATGGAATAGCCCATTAAATATTATGAAAGTTTCAAATTTGTACGCTTCTAATACAAATACGCTTCTACAAATAGACGATTTTGTCATATTTATAAAAAAAAATCGATTTAACGTCGTATTAATTACTCATTTTAAAAACATTTTACTGAGTCTTACAGCTTCACCCTGCTCTCGAGTGGCCGCAAACCCGCACGAGGTCTTTAAATCCCCTCCGGCGAGGAGGAAAAGCTGCTCGGTAACGTTATTCAACTTTGTTAGCTGAGAAAAGCAACAAACAAACAAACAATTCCCACTAACCTGTAAAGAAGCACACTCCGTATAGAGTCAAAATCCTCCAAGTTCTCAGAGAAAGACTGAAACGATCTCCCATCCGAGCAAGTATTAAACATTATTTATGCTTCATACTTATAACAAACAGTTCGTCGTTATTAATAAATTAGTAGCCTACACTTGATGCGGTTATAGAACCGATCCGAGCATTAAATCTCTCGGTCATTTAGTTATTTGAATATATTAGAGATAAAATGAAGACATTTCGTGAATTGGTCGGGGTTTCTCTTTTGAAAGACAGCTGTACTGTTAAAATCCAAAGGGTTAGAAGCTCCGTTTGTGGCGTTTTACGGAACAGACGATGATGAATCCAGTTTCTTGCGGTGTTCTTGAGTACTTCTCCAGACCACGACAGACTGACTGACTGGGTCGATGCCCGTTAAACGCTCATTCTCATGGCAAATGGAGCATGTGCTTTTGTGTGTGTGTGTGTGTGTGTGAGAGAGAGAGAGAGAGAGAGAGAGAGAGAGAGAGAGAGAGAGAGAGAGAGAGAGAGAGAGAGAGAGAGAGAGAGAGAGAGAGAGATGGTTGATTGCTGCTGCCTCCAAATACCAAGCATTAAAGAAACATATCGTTTAAAAGTTTAAAGGCAGGGTAGGCGATTTGTTCCAGAAACATTTTTTTGTTATGCTGGTTGAAAGTCTCTTCACATCCTGATAGCAATCACTAAGTTAAGTGGTATCTAGTAATAACACATACATACATACACTCACACACACACACACATAGGCCTATACACACACTGACACACACACACACATAAATATACATACACTATACATGATATATATTGATATATCATCTGTGGAAGGCGTAGGACCATAAAATGCCCGTCCAATTCGGTCAACGTATTTTCAGATACACGACAATGAAGTACTAAAAACGGAAAAGTTTTACCCTTCTATAGACGACAATGTTGTCAAAATGATCCCCGAAAATTACTGAAACCGCTGTATTATTCATGCCAGGCCAGTAGGTGGTGATGTCAGTTTGTAAAGAAACACTACACTGCCTATAGACTGAACACGTAATACGCATGACGTCACCGTTTTCACAGTTTCACGTTTTTGAGATGATAATGGTGGTGTTTTCAAAAACGTGCATTGTCATTCCCCCAAAACGCTGTTGTCGTGTAAATGAAAGGCCAAAATGCATAAAAAGTTTCTGTTTTTAGTTTGACAGACGTCAGTCACCGAGCACCGCAAACCAAACAGCAGCCGCCTTTTACAGTTCCTCCTGAACCGAAACAACAAGCTTATGCTGCGTTCACTAACTGGAATGTAGAAGAGACGGAAACACGTGATGTTACATTCGGAACGAATTTATGCGGTTCAACGGCAACACTATCAACGGTGTAATGAATCTGCCGCAGTCAGGTGGTACAGGTCAGTACTCTTCAAGTTGTTTAAGTTCATTATTATTGTAATGTGCTTTGAGACATGAAGTAGTTTAACGCCGTCTCTCGTGACGCTTTTGTTTGCTCCCTGCTGTGCGTGTTCATGTGTTTTGGAGGAGGCGTGGCTTTGAACACGCTCTGAAGGAAGGGTGGGATCTTATGAGATTCATAAATTTTGGGGCATCTCGCCCGGGGGGTGGGTAGGGTTAGGATTAGGGTTAGGGTTAGGGTTAGGTTTAGACCTAGGTTCGCTAGCTAGTTCTGTGCCTGCCTGTGTGCGCTATTGTGCGCGCTGACCCTGGTAAACGAGAACCCGCATGAGAGATGTGAAGCAGGACGTAACCCCGCCCCCCGGGGCGAGATGCCCCAAAATTTATGAGTCCCGGGATCTTATCTTACCTTCACATGTCACTTAAAGCTGCAGTCCGCACGCAGTTTTTCCTCTTTGTCGCCATCTCTGTTTGAAAGCTGCAATTGCAGTCATTTGCGGGAATTATCAACTTTACGTGAGTTGTGCCTCGGCAGTGCACAGCGCGGACGAATCCAATGTTCTGAGGAGAGTGTGAGGCTGTCAGTCACCGCGCCGGTGTGGATACTGGCATTCAGACTCACAGATTATTCTTTTTGGAAGTAAGAATTTTCGCCCTAAAATGTCAACTAAACAAGTAAGTAACATCCACTTTTGTTCTGACCAACTACTGAAAAAAAGCATTGCAGTAAATCGCACTGATTAAATCTAACGATCGATTATCATATCGCGTTAAACCGTGCAAATTATACTTTGTTCTCAAATTGTTAATGTTAACAACGTCAGCATTGCGTGACTACATGTAATGTCCTTCAGATATTATCATTGTTTTCGCACGGGCCGGTTGCAGTCTCTTTTTCCAAACTCTCAGTCCAAAGTCTTTTGCATTTTACAGCGGGTGAGTCTCTAGTTGTCACTGGTGATCGTCGTTTGAACCTTTCTGGATCAGCCATCAAATTAACAAGTTTAATTATATCAAGTGCTGTGAGAAAAGGCTATAAATCTCCACCTCCAGCATCCTCACACTCATAGCCTACTACGAGACTCTTCTTTATGTGTACAGATGTGTGTGTGTACAGATGTGTGTGTACAGAAGTGTGTGTACAGATGTGACGTATTGACGCAAAGACATGCTCGAATCTCCTGCGGAAATCCACCAGTACCACTGGAGTTAAAAACATTATTACAAGCTTACTGTTTTGAATCGACCTACGGCAAGCAGAGAGTTTTGAACACTGGCTATGTACTTGCTAAAAAAAATATTTTGGATAATTTTTAACCCAAAAGAGTTTCGGACTGGAGCTTTAAATATTATTAAATATTATACTTTCTGCTAAATCGCTATTTCTAGCCTCTCCGAAAATTGTATCTGCGAAACAGTTTGCTGCAAATCAAGGCTTCATATATCCATAATTAAATATGGGCATGAGAGCTTATTATTGCCAAACCTCACACATTATATCTCTCAGCCGACTCATAACTCCTCAATAACTGATCATAAATATAATTCTGTTCTCTGAATTCATGCAATAATTAAAACAGATATTAAATTCCTGGAAAATTAAGTCTTGAATGTTCATGCAATGATGTCTAGCATTTGTGTAATCTTGTAAAAGTTTGAAATAAAAAGTTACGTTGTTGTTTATTGATTATATTTAGGTCTGCAGATTCATTGTTTCTGTCAACAATATCAGGATTCCCAGAGGATGCATGAATAAATAATGAATGCAGTGTTTCTTTGAATAAATGTTGTAAAGTTAAAAGAAATTAAAGATATTCTATAGAATTTTTTATTTAAAAACAAAACAAAACATGAATTTATGGACTTGAAATCAGTTTTTAAATATTTCCAGGTTTTCCAGAAGAGTGCGAACCCTGTCAATGCCGGAACGATGCTTGAACGCGTGTTGCATGGCAGGACTGATTTAGTTGAAGCACCAACATCGATAAACGCTTAAATGTTGTTTCCTTTAGAGTTAAGACATACTAATACGTGCTCAAATGTTCGAAATATATAGCCTTAATAATTTTAATGTAGCGGATCGATGTGGTTTAATACACATGACAAAATGCAGTCTGCTAACCATGAAAAGGAAAGTTGCAACCGAGGAGGATTGTGGGTATTGACATTATATGCAGCTAAAGCTTTATGTTCTACATGCTTTTTTGAAGAAAATAACAATTAATTTAGGTACAAAGTACTTAAACATATAATAATTAAGATACTTACGTTGCAAAAAATAAGGGTTGCTTGAATTCAATGTGTGGTGTTTAAGTCACCGCTGCTTCATCATGCAATATCTTGAAGTCGCGTTAAACGTTGTGTATTTAATAAATAAATATATTAACATTGAGAAGACATAGTCTTAGTGAAAGATGACGTGCTTTTACTTGTGATTGTATTTATATGGCCTCTTAAACCGAGGAGTTTGGCGCGTTGTTTTAATCATCGATGTAAAGTCGCGTGTGTGACGTCATCGTTGACTACCGTCGCTGAGCTTCATCGTGTCGCTGAAGGGCCGCTGGTCGAGCGATGAGTTTCATCAAGACTATACTTTCAGGGATCATTTCTATAGTTTCTAACTTGGAAGTGTTTTTCTAAAGTGTTGAGTCTCCCTAACCACGATGATGAGTGATAATGTGGTCCTCTGAGCGTGAATCGGGTAGAAGTCTGTGATTTCATTATGGATATCTATCATTGATGAACGTTCATTGATTCTTCTGGAATCTATGAGGAGGATTGCATGAACCGAGTGGTTATGAATATAAATGTGTTTAATAATAGAGCTGATACTGTGTTTCAAATGTTGTTAGTAAGTGTCTGTACCTGTACATATGAACTTAAACTTTTGAGTTTATTGGTTTTATAGTGAGGTTTGTCACAAAATAGAGACGTGTGCTATTTAGAATCAACGAAATTTAATAACTGCCGAATCTACGTCATACGTACTATTAGAATTTTAAGTATCTTTGGAATTAACTGAACTTTCGAAAACATTGATTTGCGACATGCTTATATCTTGCAGTCACGTGGTTCATTGAGTTTTCAACCTCTTTGAATGTGTTAAAATAGTGAAAGTGTTCTATTATTTTTGAAGCAATTCCTGGTACCTGATACCAGAGCGAATAGTAGAATTAATACTCATATTATTATTTTATCTTATTATTTTAGCGACACCTGCTGGTCAAACGTTATGAAAACAGAATATATATATATATATATAGATATATATATATTCAAATACACACACATATATATATATACAGTCCATGGTCTTATCTTATTATTTTAGTGGGTAGAAAGAGTAAAGCTGTTTGTTGTTAGGATGAAGTTTTAAAAGTTAAATTTAGGCCGCTCTGCCTCGGCAGTTTAACAAAGCTTGTCATGTCAAATAAACGAGATGGCCAATCAAATCAAAGAAGGCGGGTCTTGTTCACAGAAGAGGAGTACAAAAGAGTTTATATTAAATAAAAATATATGAAACAGTATGAAGTAACAAGTTCTTGTTAGATGAAATCACGCAATTGGCAAATTCGATACAAGATTATATTTCTTAAAGTCTGATAATAATACAGCAATCACATGAGTAGGCTAAACCAGGTTTTTACTACAGTTCTCCACATCAATGTTCCTACTAAGAATTTAGTTCTATTCGAGATTAAACGGTGATGACCAAAACAGCATCATTTTCATTTTTAGATTTTGATCCGTTAATCAAGGTTTTTGTTTAGACTGATCCGTTAATCAACATAGGCCATATGATCCGTTTATCAACATATATTTAGGCACATTTGTAAAAATGCTCATTTATGTGTTTAAACAATAAATAAAAACTGTTAAACAAAAATATTTGTAAAGGCCAAGAATCCTCTTCATGTCTCAAATTAATAGTTTTCATTGTTTTTTTTTGCAGCTAAAGTTTGATGTTTTACATGCTTTATTGAAGGAAATAACATTTAATTCAATTACAAATTGCTTAAACATATAGTAATGAAAGTACTTTAATTCCCAAAACGTTAGAGGTATAGTTCACCCAAAAATGAAAATTCTATCATCATTTTTTATCATCCTCCAGGTTTGGAACAACAGGGGTAAATAAATGATGACAGAACTTTTGTTGTTGTGAAATATGCCTATAATTCAATGCATGGTGTTTCATCAGACAGTATTGAATTCACGTTAACTTTGTGGATTTAATAAATCCATTTATTAACAATAAAAAGAGACAGTCTTTGAGTAGAGGGTCGTGCTTTTACTAGTGTTTGTATTTATATGGCCTCTTAAACCGAGGAGTTTGGCGCGTTGTTTTAATCATCGATGTAAAGTCGCGTGTGTGACGTCATCGTTGACTACCGTCGCTGAGCTTCATCGTGTCGCTGAAGGGCCGCTGGTCGAGCGTAGAGTTTCATCAAGACTATACTTTCAGGGATCATTTCTATAGTTTCTAACTTGGAAGTGTTTTTCTAAAGTGTTGAGTCTCCCTAACCACGATGATGAGTGATAATGTGGTCCTCTGAGCGTGAATCGGGTAGAAGTCTGTTATTTCATTACGGATATCTATCATTGATGAACGTTCATTGATTCTTCTAGAATCTATGAGGAGGATTGCATGATCCGAGTGGTTATGATTATAATGAGTAAGCAAAGATAGATTTTAAAAAATGCGTGAAATAGAAAAAGTTAAATATGTACTTATAATAATTCTGAACAGATAAAAGAAAAAAATCAGTTGAAATTAAATTGCAATTCTCACATAAAAAAAAGCTATGTAGTATATTTAATATCAATAGGTCTAACAGATTGTATTTACTAAGCCATTCTAAATTTAAGTCAACTATCAATTAAATTGTGTAAGAATTATTCAATTTAATGAAATTTTACTATTAGTTGAATTGCATAAATCTTAAAAATGTTTATTTATTGAAGTGCATCTTCAGTGCTCCTCCTTAAAATGGGCAGATCGAGGCTTCGTGAAGCAATGAAACGGTTGAACCAAATGGTCCATATTGTTTCGACGCTTCGAATCAATCCGACACCCGTCTCAATGGTGACACCTAGTGGTCACTTGCAGTTGTTGATCTGAAACAACCTTGACGAGCCATGAACATTTGTTGTTTTTATTGTACTTTTCTAATATGTGAATCTTGTAACCTATAGGCTCCTCACTGTGCATAATGTTATTTTGGTCCTGCAAAATGAGTATTAATAAAATAAATCAAGCCACAATGTTTCACTTTTTTACATATTTTTATTCAAAAATATTAATTTCTCTGCTGTTAGGAGACTAATCTCACTTTATTTGGGGTTTCTAAATGGAAATGCTCCCACACCACAGATGTACGGCATCTCTTCTGGGGAGCCTCCATTTTATCTATCTATCCAAATCTATCTAGATATGTATCTCAAATCTATGTAATTAGATGTATCTACAATCTATGTATTTGGATATGTATATATAATATGTATCTATAATCTATATATGTATTTAGATATGTATCTATAATCTATGTATTTATAATCTATCTATGTATTTATATATGTAGCCTATCTTTAATCTATCTATATATGTATCTATCTATCTATCTATCTATTAATCTAGCTGTCTATATATATTTATATCTATGTATCTATGAATGTGTCACTATATGTCTATATGTGTCTCTAGCCTATCAGTCAATGTGTTGTGTAAATTTAAATGTAAGCCTAAATATAACTAAACAAATCGCACTATAAATGTCACTATATCGCACCAAAAATCCGCTATCTCAAAATCAAACTCCTCTCACAAAAACCCACGAGGTCAATATGCGTTGATTTCACTTTTATACAGATGTGCGATTGTGTGGTCTGTTCCCGACCGTGTCAATCAAACGCTGATTCGGCGGACCACACCTGATGAAACACTTAGGCCCTGTCCCAAATGGAACCCTAAGCACTCGCGGTCTTCCTCTGAGTCCGCACTTTCGCGACGTAACGCCGCTTTGAATGTCGGGAAGAAGTCTGCTGTGGAGTCCGCATCAGCGCGGGCTCGGCAAAAGTGCGCATCAAGGGCGCAAATCGACCACGTGGGGGCGCTCGCGAGCACCCTTCTGAGATCTAAAAATGACAAATGGGACACACTGCGGTCTCACGGACTTAACGGACACGCGCACGCGGCAGCCATTGTAAGTCCACAAGACCGAAAGTGCTCATGAAGTGTGCGATTTGGGACAGGGCCTGAGTGAAACACTTCCAGGCTTCGTTTGGCCATGGTCACGTGACATGGGTGTTTTGAATCACGCTTTGAATCAGTGTTTCGAAACATCTGCGCTTCGGGATCTTGTACCTCCACCCCTTCTGGTCAGGCGAGGGGTGTGTGAGAAAGTGAAGTTATTGGAGAGGGCAGCAGGTGTGGCAGTGTCCTCTGGTCTGATCCAGGTCTCAGTCAGGGCCGACTGAGACCTGAATGACTAGAAATAGATGTAATGAAATCAGCTTTGTTTACAGCGGACTGGCAATTCCAGACACTGATAGGAAAAAAGAGAATAAAGTACTAGAAGACACCGGAAAGGTACGCGCGGGTTGTTAGGATTGTGCTGCCTCCTATACGTGTGACTTTTGATTTACATAAGTCAGTAATAGTAGGGATTTAGGGATTTGAAAGCACATAGTGAAAGAGAGGTCGCAAAATAATACTCAAGTGCCTTGTCGGTGTCCTTGCTCGGCGGAGTCGCTGGTCTTTACACTCTTCGGCCTTCACACGATGAGCGACTTCACCAACGCGATTTCAGCTTGTGAGCCCAGTAAACAAACAATATTTCCTAGTAACTACAACTGCACTTAAATCAAATGAGAAAAAGATACAAAAACACTTCTGTCACCTCCTGTTACTCGACTGCTTTCTCTTTCTCTGCTTTGACTGACAAGTGTTTTCATTTTCGTCTGTGTCAGTAAAGAAAGTAGCCTAAACATAGGGTCAACTGATATTTAGCCTATATGTTTTATGAATTATTTTCTTAGACAAGTTGAAGGCTACGAACGCTAGGTAAATACATTTATAAAAAGTATTCACAATACGTACAAATTCATTATTAATCTTATGCCTAATATGATGAAAACGGCTTCGTTATTGTTTCTAGTCCCCTCACATTGACAGTTACTAATTATTACAATACAGAAATCACGTAAATTATATAGGCCTATTTTCAACTCAAAATGGCGAAATTAGACAAAGGTTTATTAATTTGCATCCCTGATTAGTGTCGGTCGTTTAACATTTCTATCATAAAACAGCTGTCAAATATGAAATTTAGTTTAGCTATCCTACTTACGTATATAAGGTTACACAGTGATGTCTATAACAGCATATAATTTTTTACATGAATCCATGGATCAACATATTTAGACACATTTGGATAAACTAAATGTGTTTAAACAAGAAATAAAACTTTAAACTAAAATAACATTTGGTGTCAAACCAATAGTTTTCTTTGGTGAGTAACATATTTAAATGCATTAATGGGGCGTTTTGAATAAATATGAAAGTTTGGGCATTTAAGTTAATCTTCAACAGACTTTGATGATGGTTCCGGGAAGATGATTTGTGCAGTTACACATGTCAGCCGCTAAGTCGCGCTGATGCTCAAACTACTTGATAAAATTGTTTTTAGTCAAGAGTGGTTATTAAAAAGATACTGGACTAATGTAACATTATACCCCCAGTTTAACAGACAAGGCTTGAGTCTAGATCCAGACTAAAATTCATGTTTGAGCTGTTTTACCTGCGGTAACTATAGAGGTAACCAGGCCCTAATGTATAATATTAACATAATTTAATTTAACTGCGTGTACGTTTGACGTTGAATGACAGCTCTGACAAAGATGAACAAGGAGATGCTACTGTTATAACTTGTAATGTGATCCACATCACATTGAAAACACGAATGCAGTAATAAAAGAAGGAAGAGACATCAAACTGCATATATCAGTGATATGAT